AAATGGAAAATGCTCCCACCAAACTTATTTCTACACTCCCATTGGAATGTAAATGATCTTATTAGGGAAGACAAAATAATTAATTTTTTCACATCTTCTGGCACATATCATATATGAAGCACTAGTCCACAGAGAACAGGCAAAAAACAGCTTTTGTATCCTGACTTTCATGGCTCTGAGACCTGAAAGTGTGATGTTTTCTATGATACCACATTTTTCACTAATTCCTGTCAGCATACTTGAGCTGGCAACCAACAGTAAGTAATGCCCATTTAACTGTAAAGGCCATTTAGCTGTAAAGGCACAAATTTAGTTTAAAATATTTATGAGCAAGGGAAATTCCTCTGCCTAGTACTGAAACAAAAAATCTAGACATTTTTTTTTGGGGGGGGGTAGAATGTGAATTGAAGTATGCATATGAGGGGAGGCAGGGCGGTAATGAAAGTTCTTTTCATGTTTGAAAAATAACAACTTACTAAAAGAGGCCAAAACTTTAAAATTAATTAGTATAAAATGCATAGTTGTAAGTTAGGATAGACACCTCTTTGTAAACACTTATTCCAGACCACCTCTTCCCAATTTGCTCTGACTTACTAGGCATTCCCTCCTTTTCTCCCTCTCCTCCTCTTTTTGTTTGTTCGTTTTTTTAGATGGAAGTACAGTGCAGATCTTAGATCACGGTTACATCCCAAGAATAGTGCAGGATAACAGAAGAGTAAAAGTACTCTAATTTCACAATCATTTCCAGTTAGGAAAATATTTCAGAACCCAAGCCAATTAAAGAGGGAATAGATTCAAGGATCACGTAAATACACACTCAGTGTCTTAAGTAAAGTCTTTGTCTTGTGTTTTAATTAGCTTTAAATTAAGCCTCATTGTCACAAGGCATCACTTGAATAAAAAAAGATGGTATGTATTTTATAATCTCACTGTCATTATACAGAATTGATTTCCATCAGATTTAGAAATATTTCTGTGGCAACACTAGGTTATAATTCAGACTCACAATTTTTTTTTTTTGCAAGGATTTCAGTGGCTTTTCACACATCTGAGAAAATACTCACTTTAAAATGAAATGGAAATACAAGATTGTTTCCCTTTGAATTTTTTCCAAAATATTAGAAAAATATAAAAATGCCTTGTTCTTGCCATAATAAAACATTATTGCATGAAAGAAAAACTATAACTGTGTAAATTCCTGATTGATTTAACATCAAGTGATTGAGCAAGTTAGGCAAGTAATGGATTCACCATGGCTAAAGAGATATAGGCCTTTCCCCAGCAAGGTTGAATGAAACACAATGTCCACAATTTACCAAGAAATATCCATCAGCATTCTAGTTTATAATGTTCAAAACTGTGTATGACAATGCATATATACTGGCCTTTGGAATTCTAATGACAAGAATGTATAACTAAGAATGTCAGTATGCATTTTCAAAGGTAGGAGGTCTAAATTTTTAAGGAATGAACACCTATTAGTGTATCATAAATACAAGTATCATAAATATAAGTATAGAGATGCTCCTACTTAAATCAATTTACCCTCCTAGACTCAATAGGCAAATCATTATCCTGAAGAAAGGAGAAAGAAATTGGCATGTTCATTGAGTGATTCACACATTACGCCTTTCCAAATGAATCCCTAGTCTTCAGCCTGGGCCTGACTCTGCCAAGGCACTCTCCATCAACATGGAAACTTTCCCAATGTGGTGTATTCACATGGAAGAGAAAAAGTCATTAATTATGTTTGTGGATTCGAGGTTACCTTTAAATATTTATTTATTTAACCAGTCCACTGGAAGGTTTAAATTCGGATTAGGAGAGGTGAGAGGTCACAGGGAAATTCCACAGCTGTGTCTGCAGAGAACCATCCGTCCTGGGCAGCAGGAGCTCCAGGGAGTGAAGTGTGGCTGTGCTGTTAGCTGGCTCAGGCAGATCGAAGCCTGGCTCAATAGCATTAAACTCACCCCCATTTGAGAGATTTGTCTAACAAAACCCTGAAAACGCTCGGAACATGCGTACATTGATTTTGTTGCTGGAATCTCCTGGGCTTTGATGAAAAGGCAGCCTCCACGTGCAGGTGAAAGGGCTTTACCTCTTCAATATTAAAAAGAGAAGATTAGGGATTTCTGTTTGCCTAAGACAGAACTCATCAGTGGCATGCAAGGGTGAGAAAGGAGACCTCATACCTAATGCCGACAGGCTTTCTGTGGTGGAACAAGAAGTTAAAAAATCCCTTCTGTGACCTTCGATAGAGTCGCTTACTGTGACTTCATTCTGCACAGTTAATGAAATGGCATTATAGCATATGACCAAATTTGTTTCCAATATTTTACAGATCATAGTGCCTGGATTTACTAAGAATCATTCACTTTAGTTACAACATTGACAATGAAAATGTTGCAAAGGATAATGGAAAGAGAACCAACTAAATGAAATCAGATCATAGCAGCCTATTTAGAACTCACTCAGATATACAGCTGCTCTGTATTTTTAATGTGAAACTTGAGTCTATTACATTTACTTCTGTTGAGGTTAAAAAAACCAGAATTTTCATAAATCTCAGGTTTTTTTTTTCTTTCTCTTCCATGGAACAAGAATTATCATTTCAATTCAGCAGATTGTACTTGGCATTTGTCTTTGGAATGACACAGACACATTCCTTTTCTTAGTCAAGATTACATGCAACTTTATTTTTATTTTATTTTATTTAAGCACCAGAGGATTACAGTGTCCTCAGATAGTTTGCACACATCATTTCTCAGCAGGGAATTCCAAAACAAAATGAATGCACTTCCTCTGCGAGACCAATTTCACACCCTGTAGCACTAATTCCTGTAATTATTTGTGTCCATCTTAGCCATGATTTGGGTAAAGTGATATGAAACCTGTCTGAAATTATGGTGTCAATAAGCCTTACAGGAAGAAAAGACCCAAATAAACCAGCCATGCTGTGAGATTTCATATATTGCAAGATATCTGAAAATGTAACAAATTTATCTTGAATCAAGCCTTATCAGCAATGTCTTTGATGTATTGTAAAAAAAAAAAAAGAAAGAAATACAATAATGATCCTGAAATAAATGCTAGTGAGGCAGATCGAGCTTGATAGGAGAATTTCAGAAAGGAGATAGCACTGTTTCCCATCCCTTATAGGAATCACTCGGTTTGCCTTTCAGGCATGTATTGCCTGCACTTTCTCATGACTCACTCAGCATGGTTCATCATAGGGAAAGCAGCTCTTCTTTCCAATCCCCATTAAATTACAGCATCTCACTCAAATAACACAGAGTGTGAGCCTCCATGAGACAAGATTTCTAGTTCCAGACCATTTAGTGTCTTATGCCATTAAGATGATAAGGGGAGAATCCAGGAGAAAGATGAAGCAGCTGTGTGAAATTTCTGTGACCTGGCCTGTGTGTCACAGGCAGAGAGATGCAGTTACTCACATGGAAATAGGCAACATTCCCCAAAGCCTTCAGCCAGGACAGCGGATGCAGCCAGTTTGGGTTGTGTATAAAATGGAATTGATAGGTGAAGACAAATCTTTACAAAACATTGTTGCAGGAAATGAAAGTGATGAGAGTAATGATCATTTGTTTTATGAGACAGAACAGACATTTTATGTAGGGCCAGCAAACAGGTATTTTCAGTGAGCGCCATACTTTCTCTTATTTATGGTATAATTGACAGTTTGTAGCTTTTGAGTAAATGAAAAGCATCCAACTTTTAATTATTTGGTAATATGGATTCATAGCTTGAATATTAAAATGTTTTGTTTCTATGATCAACTCCAAAAGCCCTTAGAGTTCTTAAGGATCATTCCCATACCAGGGTAAAAGCCAAATCCCTTCCCATTAAAAAAAAAGAAAAGAAAAGAAAAGAAAGACAAACAAAACAAAAAACGGCAGCCTTTGCCAGCCAATCCACAAGACGCCTTTTCACCTCTTTAATGTGATAAGGAAGTGTTAAATCAAAGCCAGTCCCCTATTGGAGGCACCTTGGGACTGAATGATGCTTAAGCCAGTTGTTGGTACTCCTGAGTGTTAGACAGGGAACACATATCTCTTGTAAATCAGAGAGGCCATGGCAGGCATCCTGTGCCACCTACTATCACTTAATTAGTATCATCATCTGAGTTCTCGATGGAAATCACAGCAGCATGCATTTCTTAGTAAATATAATTGCCAGAATATATTCATTACATATTATACCAATTTCACGTTACACCAATATCATGTAGCTATCAGATATTGTGTGTTGGGGATTATGTTTGTACGTTTTGATTTCTGGCTTTTTCACTTCTATCTATCCCAGAGTTTTCTTACAAATCCAAAGCCTCAAAGGTATAGTATAGTCACCACAAACTCAGCACACTGAGAAAAAAATATCAAGACTAATATTTGATATTAGGAAAAACATCATTTCCTAATCTGTAGTTGATAGCATGAGATAATAGAGATTAATGGTTATAAAGGTGAGTAAAGCTAGGCTAGGCACAAGCAGACTTAGATTGGAACTGTGTCAGTAAGTGGGCATTGGCTTCCGTTTGGGATAGCTTCCTTCTCAAGCCAGTGGCTCTGTGTAGGGAAGAATGTGGAGAAGCAGCCAATGA